GGGTAATCGTCCGGGTGGGTAATTGTCCTGGTGGGTAATCGTCCGGGTGGGTAATTGTCCTGGTGGGTAATTGTTCGGGTGGGTAATTGTCCTGGTGGGTAATTGTCCGGGTGGGTAATTGTCCTGGTGGGTAGTTGTCCGGTGGGTAGTTGTCCGGTGGGTAGTTGTCCAGGGGGTAGTTGTCCTAGAATCGTGTGTAATAAATAATAGGTCACTCATCTCCATAGGGGTGATTGCTGTTAATGAATATATGGTGTATATCAATGGTCTAGGTGTAGTTGAGATGGCAATGCTCCTGAATATGTCTAGTCACTCTAGAGTATCTCCAAAAGAGCCTTCCAAACAGAAATAAGTGCTTCTATATCAAAAAACTCATGTCTAAAAAACAACTCATTGTTTTATTTTTTGTACCGTAAAACAATTTAAAGGTGCCGTAGCTACCATGCAACTTATGCTATGAAACTATAGCACCTAACCTTGAAATATTTGCGAGATTTTTTACTTGATGACACGATTTAAATAGTAAGGCACCTTCAAGTGTATTAAATTTTAGCTGATGTTATGTAATAATAATGTGACCGATACCATCTAATGAGCAATTAACATGTTACAGACCTGGGAAGCAGACCCAAGAATAACAATGGTCTTAATCAAAGGTGTTGGTGAGAAGGCATTCTGTGCTGGTGGTGATGTCAAAGGTAAATGATGCTTTTTTCTGCACAGGTCTTTAACCCACATCAGATTCACATGCTTTAGAGCTGAAGCTGATTTGGGCATCTTATAAATTCTCCAAGATGCCTTGATTGTCCAGTGGACATGCCTTAATTTCGTTCACTTTTCTTTTTGAATGTGTTCACTCTTGACAATACCAACACGATCATCCTGTATTTTCACAGCTTGAGGTATACGTCTCCGAACTAATCAAGTTTACCTGTATATGATATCGGAGCTGTTCATGACATGCACAATTGACTCAAATTGATACAACCCCCTCCTAAGCCCTCCCCCCAATCCGACCACAAATGACATGCCTTTTGAAATTTCTGGGGAGAACTCTATGACATATGTATAGCAGAAGGTTATATGGAGCAGTTATATGTTGTTTTAATGCCATTTTTTTGTCATTTTAGTTCAAAATTAGTCGGTTGTCCTATTGCTTAATACACCATGTCCATATTTCCTAATTATTGCAGCTATCACCGACTCTGCAAAGGCGGGGGACTATAGCTACCCATTCTTTGGCGAGGAATATGTATTAAATAATACAATAGGTACTGCTTGCATTTGACTATTATTCTGAAATATTTCATGATAAAATTATGATAAATATTTACGTGATAACCCTAATTATTAATTTAAAGAAATTATAAAGAACATGTGTTTCAGAATTTTTGGGACCAAGCTCCCCATATAGGTTTAATGTACTAAAACTAAAAGTGATGTATGGTGTAAGAACCTGATTGTCTTGGTAATTTCTCAGCATTATGTTTTATTCTCCAGGTACACTACATATCCCATATATTGCGTTAATAGATGGAATAACAATGGGAGGGGTAAGTATCCTGTTTCTTAATGGGCATTCCAGTTCATTCATTAAGTGCAATTAATTATCATCACACAATCAAATATATGTCATTGTTCAGCAATTTGAAACTCGGTTTCTGACTAAATATGTAATCAAATTTACTAAGTGAATTTTTTGTATGTGATGCAGGGTGTTGGTCTGTCAGTACATGGCAGCTTTAGAGTTGCAACAGAGAGATCAGTCTTCGCAATGCCAGAAATGGCGATAGGTGAGAACAATAGGTGATATAGGCTGCATATTACTATAGTGTATTTTAGGAAATATCCATTAGTTTAAGGATACATTCAGGGTTGGTAGGTGATATTCGGTCGAAATTTCAATACCCATTTTATTTGATAGATGCCACCCATGGGCAGCTATGTATACGTAGATATTATGTATGTAGCCTCCCAAACAGTTCTAAATCCCTGCATACGCTTACCTGCCATACGCAAACCCTGGAACACCCTTTAAATAGTGACGTCATGAGCGCGCCACCCCAGCATGCAAAGCAGAAACGCTGTTACAGCTGTTTTGATCCGCTGTTGCTACACGCGCGATTGTGTACACAGAGACGATAATGTAGGCGGTGAACGGGAGATTGAAACAGATAAGATATTATTATTTTGTCTATTTATTTATAACAGCAGGACTTTTTTTAAGTTTGTTGATGATAAACCGTCACAGATAAGTCGCAGTAAGTACTAAGAGTAGCAATTATACTTACTTTGGTCAATTCTAAACACAGCCGTTCAATCATTGCGGAATTTCGAAAAGCGCTAATATATCTCTATTGTTAGAAATGCTGAAGTTGCTTATTTTTCAGAAGCTATTTCTCGAAACTCGCATCTCCGATTCCAAAAATGTTTGTTCCGTTTTAATGCTAACATATTAAAGGAAAAAACAGTCCCTGGAATTTTTGATTCTAGGACAACTACCCCCTGGACAACTACCCACCGGACAACTACCCACCGGACAACTACCCACCAGGAGAATTACCCACCCGGACAATTACCCACCCGGACAATTACCCACCAGGACAATTACCCACCAGGACAATTACTCACCAGGACAACTACCCACCAGGACAACTACCCCCCGGACAATTACCCACCCGGACAATTACCCACCAGGACAATTACCCACCAGGACAATTACTCACCAGGACAATTACCCACCAGGACAATTACCCACCAGGACAATTACCCACCTGGACAATTACCCACCAGGACAATTACCCACCAGGACAATTACCCACCAGGACAATTACCCACCAAGACAATTACTACCTAACAATTACCCACCAGGACAATTACCCACCTAACCTTCCAATAAGGAAAAAATTCCCCC